CTCATGTGATTATATTTGCTGATTAGAAATTTTTAACACTTAAAGGAAGCTATCATAGGCCAAACCCATTAACTCTTTTACAGAGAATAAAATTAGAAGATAGTGGAAATTTGGACTGAAATCACTGTTTTATCATTCTGGAAAGGATGTTTTCTGTCCTGTTTGTAGCATTCTACAATTTCTTTGGTATTTAAGAAACAAGACTCAGATATCATTGTTTCAGCCAAGTACTTTGCATATGAGGCAAATTCTAAAGAAACCTGTAAAAAAATACATCTAAAAGCCAGGTACAAGTCATTCTAACTGAAACTAGTATCTTATATACTGGGACAATCTGGATTTCTATTAGGACATGGACATGAAATTGCTCACTGATGAATGATACCTGCTTTGAAAACCTAGCTGGTGTAAAATTGTGGTTTGGCTTTCCTTGCAGATGCAAAGAGTGTCTTCTCACCAACCCTCATGTTCAGAACTTTACACTGGCCATTGTAATTGTTGAGATTTCCATCCTGTCCTTGGGACGTTGCCATTGCATTTCCTTAATGTATCTAAAGCTATAACTGGAGTTTCAGTATGAAGACTTTAAAATTCTAAAAGATGTGAATGTTGTCTATCACAAGTCTGAAATAGGAGTAAATCTTCCTTCCATGGGTGTTTGTTTAGGGGTATATGTGTGATCTTTCAAAATCACAGAAATTCCTGTAGAGTTCTCAATGCAGTAGCAGTTAAGAGAATGAACGGGTGTCAGGTATTAATCATTTGGATTAAAGTATTTGTGTAAGGGGCTGGTGTAATCCCTAATGAGGTACCATCTTCGGTGCAGATTACAGCAAATTGGCTGAGTGTTAAAGGGTGCTGACATCCAAGATCAGGGAATAAGATGCTGCATAATTTTCTATCTAGACGCAAGAATGAGGGAATAAAGATCACTGGTCTTTCGTACATATTCCTCAAACACTGAATAAAATCCCCAGTAAGCTGAGTTGGAAGAATTTATCCCGACTATTGACAGACTTTTTCGTATGGAAGTCCTCAGAGAAACAAGAAATTAAGTTACTTTTTTTGGAATGGGTTTAGTTAATGTTAAAGGTTTTATGACTACGCTTCCTTTCGAGATTATTTTAACTGCATTAAGAATTCCCTTCTTCAGGTAACTGGCAAGACTTCACTCTAAAAAATTTATCAGCTCCAGAAAAGACAAAACCTTGATGCAGTCAGAGCTTTTATTTCCTCTTCAGGGAAATGAGAAAAAAGCAGATCCCGATCTGAATGAATATTTGTCATAATTTATGGAATCGGTTCTTTAAAGAAAAACAAAAAGATGGGCAAATGTTGATGTTCTTGAACAAGTTTCTTCTTTCATCTCAGATAAAGATGTTGTCGTGGGCATCCTATAAAAGGTTTAATGAAGTCAGCATGAGCAGATCAGGTGTCTTCAGAGCCCATCCTGCCATGAATATCTCAGCTCTGTGTAACTGGCAGAGATAATCTCTCCTTTTTCACCTGTGATTGCTGAGTGCTGGCTCACAATGGAAGGCAGTAGATAAGAGTGTGCTTCCTGTGAGGTTTTGTGTGAATGTGAAAGGGAGATTACAAGCGAATTTTTTGTTTGATTGCTGAAGGTGTGTTGGAGATTAGATTTTGAATGTGTGTTGTGAGGTGTTGCAGTAGTAGGATTTGAAATTCGGGACTCTTTTCAGTCTGTGATTAAATTGGCTGCTGAGTCTGCTCTGGAATGTCTGTTCAGTCTGTTTATTGAAAACCACAAGGGTTTGCAGTAATTGGAGAATCCACGGGGCTGCTGGATGTGAGTGCTGGGCTCTCTTGCAGTGTGGCAGCCCTGTGATTTCGGGTTTGTTACTGCTTGAGAATAATTGACTGAATTTCAATTAAAAGCTTGTGACAATTCTACAGTTTTTCTAGGTTACAATACCTCAGTGCTTCCATTGCATCTGGAATTTAAGTCCAGAATGAAATCACATGCCTAATTAATTTCTTTTGGAGAATTTGAAACATCTAACCTGAAAACTACTGGAAGAGGAAAAAATGAATTATTTCCTTGATTGGACCTTCTTTCTAGAGATACTGAGCATCAGCTTTATGTTCCACTTCAGTTAAGTGACTGTTCCGTTTCACTGGAATGTTCATGCTACTGCAGCGACTCCTGATTTGTATTTCTAAATTAATTTATAGTTGATCTTACAACCGTAGACGTTTTCCCACAGGAGACTGCTTCTCACAGAAGCTGTGAACCTCAGCAGGAACCCGGCCTTTTGAATATGTATTTGTTAATGTTAGTTTGCCTTTTTATCCCATCATTTGTAGAAGTTCTTGCCTCAGTTTTTTTCAGAGGAACAAAAGTTTCCTTATAGTTACCTAACATAGAAAGACAGGATGATGCTTATAGGAATTGTCTACTAGAGGAAATACAATAATTTTCAGTTTCCAGCTGGAACTTCCAATTTCAGAAATGTCATTAATACACTGTGTTAGGAGAAATAAGTAAAATTATCCTGGATGTTCAGCTTGTTTAAAACAAGATAGCCAGTTTTCTGCTTCTGTTGTTGGTATTTCTTTCAGTATCTCAGCTGTAGTTGAACACTGAATTTGAGAACAAACACAACAAAATGAACAAAAAGTCCCACTGAATCTGGAAGAGGAAGAGATATTGAAGATTCCAAAGTTGCCATATGTTGTAGTAAATATTTTGCAGGCAGTTTGTAGAACATTTGCTTAGAAGTACAAAGTATAGTTGCTAGTTAAGGCTTCATCCTTTCACGTTTTGATAGCACTTGATTTTTCAGCTTCTTTTAGGCAATTAAGTTTAGTCTGTATTAAGATGCAATTCTGCAAGAGCAGGTGCATCTAAAGTAAGTATGAAACTTCCTCGTTTTTTGTAAAAAATATTTTGAACCACATGGGAAAGGAAAAAGTGAAGATACTAAACAATAATAAGTAATAACCAGGCATCTTACAGCAAACACATGAGATTTGTAACTTCAGTATTAAAATGCACTGTATATTTATATTTCTCAATTTTGGAATTATTTTTAAATTGACGTTCCATAATTTTTTTTTCCTGTAGGTAATGGTGATAATATAGGTAGGAGCAATTAGATAATATTTACTATGGCAAAAAGAAGAATGGTTCTGGTGTAGAAGCTTAGTGGTTTTCAGGTGTCACAGGTGTTACTGCTGTTCTGTTAAATCAGAGCTGGAGCCTGTGCAGCTGAGGCACTGGGTGGGCAGTGAATGACCCTGGAAAATGCACTTTGTGTTCAACCAGCTGTGTCTCCTAAGAGATGATGCTGCTTCTGGGTTTGGAATGTTGTTGATACTTGGTGACTCAAACACCATTTGAAGAGCAGGTTGCACACAGGGCTTTGAATGCCCAGGTGCAGCACTGAGAGCACAGCCCAGCAGACAGTTCTCTCCTCAGGGTCAATGCCCAAACAGGAGGTACATTTTGTGTATGCTACAGGCATTTAGTTTGTTTCATAGTTTAATACAGAGTTAAATTAAGTTATTAGCTTTCCTCTCTCTTTAGGCATATCACTTAAAAATTGCATGATCTGTGATCAGTTGGAGATTCTGCGCAGGGAGATTGGAAGGTTCTTGCAGAACTACACTGTGGGAGGAGGAGGCATTTTAAACTCGGTGACAGTCCCTGGATATAATCCCGGATTTAGGCAGTGGAGCAAAATACCTATTAGAGCAGGTATTCAATGCCATGAGATACAGCACTAGGGTCTTTATAATTAGTGTGTTCTGTTCTCTTTTGCTGTTTAATTTTTCCTCCTGTTGTTGGAGTGGTAGTGATGGGCTGAGGCAAAGAATGTATGTAATCCTATAGAAAAGGCAGGTGAGGGGAAAAGAAATACCAATGTGAATCTAGCTCCCTACTCCAGTTAGTATTGTTTTCAATAGTTCTGCTCTGCCACAGTCATGCAAATCTTGAGATTTATAGTTCATTAAATAAAGGGATCAACTGATGAAAATCACATGTGGGAGGGTTTTGTCTTTTCCCCATTCCTTATTTTTCGGGTCAGTGACAACAGAGAACACCTAGAGATGACTGCTTAGGAAGTAAAAAGTGGTTTTGGGAGAGCACAGGTGCTTTAGGAGTCGAGGCTTCAGAGATCTGTAAATATAAAAAAAGGTATTGTTTAAAAATCAAAGTTAGACTATATATTGGTGTGTCTGAGGGATTATCTAACCTATTTTAAAATTTATATGTCTCCTTCCTGAATCCTTTCAGAGAATTATTATTGTTTTAGTTGTGTCCTACACCTGCTGTGGCAATTCCCCAGCATCTTTAATTGCAGGGTGCTGACACACAGGGTCTGTGTTCAGTTTCGTTCTTTTGTCTTCACTAATTGTTGTGATAGTCCAGTTCATCCTGTCCAGCTGGTCCTCCTTTACCTCCCAAATTCTTTTCCAGTGCTCTTGTAGTCTGGTAGGCCACTTTGAGTTAGTGCAGGCATTGCCTACTGATGATCAAACTCAGGCACTCAAAGCTGTAGTGTCTCCTGGATTGAAATTTTGTCTAAATCAGTAAATCTGCCCTATTGTAAGCTAGGCCATGCTAATGGATTTTAAAAGCATTTCTGTATTTTCATTGACAGTCTGTGCTTAGTAAATTCAACTCCCAGAATGGTTTTAAATGCTGTACATGGACTAAATTCATTATTACAGATTTGTTGCTATTCTGGAAATCTTAATTGTATCTAAATGAATTAATGAGAGTGCAATAATCTTTTGTATTTCTTTCAGAGGTTCTCAGCTGTTGGTAACTGGGGAGGTGGTATTGCTTAATTTAGACTTTTTTTTTGCAGTTCCAGTGTATTTCTGAAAGTGCAAAACTGTCAAGAAGACAAAATAATGGAATTTGCTTTATAATGTAATAGAAGCAAAACAATTCCAAATTTAGCTAAACAACAGTAAGATAAGTTAATAAATATATTGATGCCTTATTTTCTCCTTTTGTTGTTTTCCAGGAGCCAGCAGGAAAAAGAGGATTCATAGCATTTGGACCTGCTGACAGCCCAGAGATTCAGTTGTGGCACTTGTGAGTCAGGAAATTCAGCATGTCCTGGCTGAAGGATGCTGAATGACTCTGATCCCGTGCTGCCCTCCTCTGGCTCAGCTTTTCAAGGAGAAATCATTCGAGCCTCTGATGCTGTGTCAGGTACAGAGGACATTGGAGAGCCTTCTTAGTTATTTACATTTTACCTGAAATTTGTATCTCAGAATTTGGGTAACCTCTACTTGTGCATTTGAACGTTTCTTCATGTTCCAGAGCAAAGATGTAAACTTTTAACTTTTTTGACTTGCTCCCTTAATTATATTGTGATAATTTTGGTACAAATATAATTTTAGTGCTGCTGAAAAAAAATTTAAAAATTTATCATTAGTGGTTTTTTTAATGGGGGCAGTGAAAGAAATTTCATATTGGATTGAGACAGTTTGAGCTCTTTGCATGTGTACTGCCAGCTTAAATTTCACTTATTCTGTCTGTAATGTTAATCAGTTACTATTTAAATTAATGTTCTGACGTCTGCTGCTTTTCCAGTGACATTTAGAGTATTCACAGTTACAACTGAAGTGTTAATTTTTTCAACATATCTGCATAGATTTTTATGTTTCCATAGCATTGCCCCTTAAGTTTTCTGTTCCAGCAGTGTTAAATGTAACACTGAAAGCAGAGGATTTGCAGAGGAGGGATTGTGTTAAGACAGAACAGCAATGGAAATCATGCAGAGTATGAAATAAGGAGGCATTTATTCCCAGGGAGCACTGAAAAGCTTGCTGAAGGATGTCTCTGAAAACTTTTAGCTGTGTTATGTACTGCTGTTAAAAGCATCTAAATCTTCAGTGCTGTTATCTAGGAATTCTGCTCATGTTCTCTTTTGGTTTTACACATCCAGAAACATCCTTGGGGAGAGTTGGGGTGTGTCCTTTGTTGTCAAATAACTTTCTATTCAGCCTGTTCTTTGAGGTGCAGTTACTACTGCATGTTCCAGTTCCCTGGGAGCAGTGTCACTGCAGTGGCTGCAGAGCAGTGTCAATCTCCTTAGGAGCAATTCCAGGGCATGCAGCTCATTGGAAATATATTAACTTTAATACTTGTTCAAACCAGGTTATTCTCAAATTTATCAAAATA